CGCACCCGCCGCGCCCCCCGCACCCGCCGCACCCGCCGCGCCCCCCGCACGCCCGCCGCCGCCCACCAGCACGGTGGCGCCGTTGCCCGCACTCGCCGGCTTCTCCGGCGGCAACGCCACCACGGACTCCACAGCTTTTTTACTTCGACGTCTTCTACTGTATCGACATAATATTATTACAAATTTATAAACCTTCCTCGGCTGGTATGCGACTTGTGGATATACTTACGCATGGCAGATGTAGGCGAGCAGCACCAGCACCAGCAGCAGCAGCAGCGCCAGCGCGGCCGCGAACCCGCCCAGCACGGCCGCGCGTGCTCCCCGCTCGCCCCCGGCCGCCGCACCGCCCGACACGTGCACCGACACCGGCACCGACGTCTGCATACAAACACATACATTTAAAGTTGACACTCAGTCCATGCGCCACTCGGATGAAGTCAGCGGGCGCGGGCTGACCTGCCGGGGCGGAGTGCCGGAGTCCACGGCGGTGGCCACCACGTGCAGCACGGAGGAGTTGAGGGCGGACAGCGCGGACCGCCGCAGGAACAGCTCCCCGCCCTCCCTCACGTACAGGATTCTAAAAAAAGGAGCGGGAAACATAAATATCAAACATCAACGATTCCACAAATAAAAGTAAAACAAAACAAAGAAGGAAGCGCGACAGACTCAGCGTCAGGTCCGCGCAGGGAGATGTCCACAGTGTCTGCCCCGTCGCCGTCGTGCACGTCCAGACGACCCACGCGCACGTCTCCTGCGGCATCGCCCTGCTCCTCCGCGCCCTCCTCCACACTTCTGATGCCGCTGCTCCTGCAATACATTAGGTGCATAATGAAGATGTGGCGCAATGATCAAGCAGTCTTCTTGATATTAAAGGAACACGGTTGCAAATCCTCGGTCTCCTTAGTATACATACGCGAAGTCGAGGTGGTGATGTTGCGCGGGCGAGGTGTGGGGGGATGAGTTCACGTCGACGCGGAACTCGTAGTGCGGGAAGCGGAAGCGCGGCTCCCACTCGTTCACGTCTATCACGCTTATATTCACCGACGCCGTGTCGTTCTGTCGGTCGGCGGTTACACAGTGTTAAAAACAGACATGACATTCTATAAAGGAAGTTAAAAATACCAAAAATCAATTAATATATTTATAAATCGGAGCGGATACTTGCGGAGAGTCCGTCGGTGACCATGACCTGGTAGTGGTATAGTTGCGCGGTCTCGTAGTCGAGCGCGCGGCGCAGCAGCACCTCGCCCGCGCCGTTGATCGCGAACTTGTCCAGGAAGCTCTTGTCCGACACGTAGAACTGCAGCGGGTTCTGGAAGGTTCGACGTGGATCATCGCAATGAGGAGAAAGTACAAGTGCATGTAATGTAATGAATGCAATACCTGAGCGGGCGCGGTGTGGAGGGCGAGGAGGGCGAGGCCGGGCGCGGTGTCCTCCCGCACTCGAGCGGCGTACTCCCGGCGCAGGAAGCGCACGCGCCGCGCCGCCCCCCGCGCCCCCCGCGACACCTCCAGCGCGGCCAGCGCGTACCTGTCCGGGTTGTCCACCTGCGTCGCCTGCACGCACATTCATTCATGTTATCGTCTCACAAAATGCTAAGCTGTGAGCCGCACCTACCAGACACGAGAGTACCTTGATGACAACAGTGAGGGGCAGGTCCAGGTCGAGCAGCAAGCTGGTGGCAGCCACGCGGCCGGTGTCGCGCTCCACTGTGACCCCCGCCCCCGCCCCCACACCCGCCCCCGCGCCGCCCAGCGAGTACTGCAGCGGCGCCCGGATGCCCGCATCCTGGTCCTCCGCGGAGATCGGCCCCGGCAGCGTCTCCAGCACCGTGCCCTGATACACATAACATATTTTAACTTTCTTCCGCCCCATGAGAACATTGAAAATAGGATTTTGAAGCAGGACCGCGGTCAAATATAATACAATGTACGAGAAAACCTCACCTCCTTCATATCATCGGGCAGGACGGCCGTGTAGTGGTCATGCGTGAACTTGGGGTTCTGGTCGTCTGCGTCCAGCACCTGCACGTTATTACATGCCTGCTAATTTGATATCTTTCAGGAGTTAAAAAAATAAAGCGGTGCAATGTGTCGTATAGTATGTTCGTGTAACCTGCACATATAGCTCGGTGTCGTTGTACCGCGGGGGCGCGCCCTGGTCCTGCGCGCGCAGCCGCACTGTGAAGTTGCGCACGCTCTCGTAGTCCAGCGGCTTCTTCACCACCAGCATGCTGTCCAGCTCGTTCGCGAACCCGATGTACTCCTAACGCGTACGAAATCAATGCAACAAAGCATTTTTGAAGTTTTATTATTCTTAGTTTTATCCAGTCTCTTGTCGGCTGCGGCTCTGATAGGTACTAACGCTATAGGGTCCGGGCAGCACTGCGTAGTGCACGGTGGCGTGCGGGCCGGGCTGGTCGGCGTCGGCTGCGGGCGCGGCCAGCACGCGCGCCCCCACCGCCGCCAGCTCCGACACGCGCGCGCGGTACGGCGCCCCGCGCCACACTGGCGCGTTGTCGTTCACGTCCCACACCCGCACCGACACGGGGATCAAGAAGCTCTACGCAAATTTACATCCGATAGATTAGACAAGCTCCGGCTGGGACAAGAGTAGACGTGTGTGGTAATGTCTGACCGGGTCGGTGGTGTGGCGACGCTCGCAGCGCACGTTGACGTAGAGGCTGCTGGGGCCGGCTTGCTCCTCGCGGTCCAGCGCGCGCGCCAGCGTCAGGTTCTTGGTGCCGGGCGCGATCACCAGCCCCGCGCCGCGCTCCGACACCGACAGTGCGATGTCTCCCTCCCCGCTGGGGTCGCCGTTCACACTCAGGGTGCCTGCAATGCAACATTGTATCACTTTAACGTAATGCAAACAAAACCGTTAAGAGACACGTTTTATTTGCTAGAACTGACCAATGACGCTGCTGACGGGTGTGTCCTCGCTGATGAAAAAGCTCTCCACGGCGCCGCCATTCATCAGATAGCACCGGCTGTCCTGGATCGCTGCAAACACACACAATATCACATCAATATTCAGTCTTATATTACAATGTTGTATCGTTGCTAGTCTATGCAGTGCCGTGCAGCACACAGTACAGGTGTATGTTTATATATTTATAAATTAGTACTGAACGTGTTACTCGTATCTTACAGTTTCAGCGTAATCTAAAACTAAACTAATAAAACTGACACATGCATTCAAAATATTTAGGGAAGAATATTGATGAGATAATGAAATAACATAAGAAACCGCGTACATTAAATTGGATGATTCCATATTTAAAAATGTCAATTAAAAATAAATCGGATAAGCAAAAAATGTTTAGAGATTGATTATGTATTGATGTCGGTGATAAGTGACAGGTACAATTAAATTTAAAACGTGTGAAATTCACAATAGTTGTCTGGTGGCAATCAGAGCGCGCCCTCTGCTGCTGCCCCCTGCCGCCGGCTGGCGGTGACATGTTAATAGACAATAGAACAAAGCACATTTATACACAACTCCTGACACAGCGGTTGTGTTTGCACAATTAATTCGATGTTTGCAAAAATTGTGTCATTACATATTAACAGAATAACGTTGTTCTATCTTACGAAAATTATTTTATTCTTTGAAAAACATCTATAATAAAAGTAGACAGTTCATCAAAAATCAAAACTCGATAAGCAAAGTGTAGAAATTCTCAAAAATGTTAACACTTTGGCAAAGACCAAAGACTATAAGGCTGATTATGAACAAATCGAAGTATTTTTGTAACGCAACAAAAGACATGAACGAGAGCAACATAACTGTCGATATTGTGATGAATAGAACATTGTAATGTGTGTTAATGTGCCGCTGCTACTTATCACTGAATGTGTTGCTTGACGCGGCCACTATTGAAACGTAACCATATCGCTGGCTGTCAATTTGTCCGCTCACATGCACGAACAAGATTAATGACCAGTGTAATCGGTAATTGTGCAAAAACCGAACGAGTTTACACCGAGCGGGCAATCAAGCGTAAATAACGATATTGTCATTGTCAAAATAGGCCTTTTCATAAGCGTAACTAGTTTAAAACAAAGTTAATTGACAGGATATATTTTACAGTTGACTTGAGTTACCTTGCCTACTTTAATGAATTACGATAAATGCAAATCTATTCTTGATATCTTTTCCAGGCAACTTTCTTACTGCAGTACACATTATCTCGCTGTTTAAAATTTTGCCTTGCAGTGATTCGAAGGAGTTGGCTACATAAAAAAGTTGTGCAATGTCGTGAGACCAATTATTGTTTTTTTACATAAGGAAAGTGATTTCAATCAAAAACATAGCGTGAAACTATAGTTAATAAGCGTTTGTTGCAGCTAACTGAGTTTTAAGTTGGCACAATGGCGGCAAATGAGCGCAGGAAATGAATGATTTGAACGTGATTATGGCTATCAGTGGACGCCGACGTACACATAATGTGACCACTTTCCCGTGCCCTATGGCCGGATGAAAGTGATGCTGGCAACATTCACATGCCCATTATAGTAAACTGACAAATTTGCATTTATGATACTGATATTGAAACAAAGTAAATACATCATAAATAATATCTAGAAGATAAAAACTTTTTGTTTTACATTTGGCAAAGAAATTGAAATACTATGTCATTACACTTAAAACTATTAACAATTACATAAAAATACTCTGTAAAATAAATGAAATTGCAACACATACAAAAATTAATAAATCATACAGTAATATTGACTGTTGCTGGAATGCTGGCAAATGAGATAAATGCTGAGTCGGTGGTCTATACTACGCACTATAGTGAATATGATGGTAGGAGGCAGCCTCATCACAAGGAGGTAGACTCACCACGCGAGCGTATGGACAGCGCGATGGCGAGCGCGGGCCACGCCGCGCCGCCGTCGCTCGGTCCGCCCTCTGACGCCCACCAATGTTTTAAACAGATTATTAATCTACCATAACTTAAGTCCTTAGTTATCTACAGATATGACTATTAAACTTGGACATTAACAATTAAATAAATATATTCAATAAAAGCGCATAATTTTAAAATTATCCCTCGGATTAGTAGAGTTCATAATTATCTAATAATTGAAACAAGAAAAATGATTCATTTGGTGACTACATCGGGGCAAACATAATACAATTGTTATTGATCTGTTAGGTTTAGTGAGGAGGCGTGAATGCGCGCGTGTTATCGTCAGTGCAAACACTCGTTAACTTACACCAAGTTGTATTCGAAGCTTTCTAAGGAAAGCGTCTAACTTAACCTGTACTGTTTATTGTTTAAACATACAACCGTATTATTGACAATCAAACAGCTACTATAAGTAATGAAATTATGGTTGATGTGACCAGATCACATATTAATATCTTATGTAATATCCACTTCCCAGCATATTTCGCTGGTTTTACCAATACATCCTACTTTAGTCACTGCTAATTTGGGTAGAGCCCGAGAACCTCGATGGAGACACTGAACTGACATCGACGACACACCAAACGTTCTGTTCCGAACAATCATCATGGTATTTACTTTGCACATTTTTTGTGTTTCAAAAAGCCAGATTAAAAAGAAAACAAAAACGTAATCAATTTTCACAATTCATTGAACTTTGTAAGAAGTAAACAAAAAAAGTTCAGGTTGAATTTTTTTACCGGCAATTAATATTTGGCTTGTTCATGCGTATTATTATAGTAGGTATATAGGTGATTAATAATCTGATAGCGTCATAGTAAATAATTCCCCTCTATGGGTGACGCAGTTCCGGAGTCGTTGCGTAGCGTAGTCCCGGCTAGTAGGGGAGTGGGGGAGTGGGACTGTGACGTCACGGGCCGCGATAACCACCACTTCCGGCTTGCTGTGTGTTCCACATTCAAAATGGCGTACAACTAAAAAGCGATAGCTTTCGTTTTCACTTTGAGCAGTCGGTCCGTTCGCAGCGAGGTGAGGGTGAACGTCTCAAATGTAGGTGAGCGTAGGTAACGTTCTCTAGGACGTTATCGATTCAAATTTCCGAACCGGCAGTTCAACGGACGCTCGTAATCGTAGCGAGAGCAAAAAAAGTAAATACTCACTTAATGAACTGTGAAATTGTTTGCTAAAGTTTCACTCAATCATCCTTCGGGGGCGCATTAAACATTATGTTAATAATAATCGCCGTATAGGGTCTGACGTATAGGCGTTTCTAAATGAAGATATTTTTGAAAACCGAATTATATTAATACAATCCTACTCCTACTCCTATGGCTTCCTTATTTATCACATTAGCTATTTATTTATTCCTACGTTGGAAATAATAAAAAAGCGGATAGAAATGGAGACGAGCGCACAGCGCTGAACTAACACGACTTCGCAATTCACAAGATAATATGGAGAAAAATATTTTATGATTACACATTAAATATACACGCACTGAATACGCTTCAAACTTACGCACGCACATCGTCGTACTTTTATACAGCTACGGAAACATACCTTTTTAACCGTAGTAAAGATCATTTCTGCTATTATAAAAGCTATAAGAACGAACTAAAAATGAAATGGCTTTCAATCAATCTATTATCGAAAGTAAAATCGACAGCAAAATGATCCTGTCACGTTGTAATAAGACATAATGAGTAACACTTATCATATTTTGGCGGGAACTGGATCGGAAACCAGCTCAGGCCAGCTAATTGAATCAGATTAAAGTTGTGCTTTCTCTGTGAAGTAAATTGTGCGTCAAATTGTTGTAAAACTGTCTGCGAATGGTGGTTTTTCTCTTGTTTTAAGTGAAAACAAACAAAAAATATTAGCTTATAGTTAGATACTAAGCACGGTATTGAGAGGAAATTATAAAGGAACCCATGTTTAAATGTTCAACTAAACGGTAATTGCGGAACGGTCTTTGTTTATTCTTAAAAACAAAGTTAAGACATTCCTGTCCTTGAGTGCAGGCGCGTTTACTTTTACAAGTTAACGACTTAGTGTTGAGTTGTGACACCTGCCGCGGTTAGCCGGCAGGGGGCGCGGGGGCGCGGGGACGCGGGGGCGCGGGGGCCGCCTATCCCGTGTCCCGTGGCGCGTGCTTCCGGCACCGCGCCGGCCGCACTGCGCTCGGCCCGCCAAGGAATACCACAAAATAACTATTTTAAAACACAAGTTTTATCACCCTTTTTTGACATTTGAATACGCCTAATACGTCAACGATGTACATCGTTGTCCCGAAAAAGCCACATAATACATAATGTTTAGTGGCCTAAACTTATGTGACTTATATCACGATGGCCCCAATTTACTTACATAAAACAGACCATGTTAGCATAATTTTCCAAAAACTCCAAAAGCCTATTTTGTTAGATAATGAAAGATTGATTAACCTATGTTTTTATAACACGCCATAACCGTTTAAATTAAGAGTGACACGGCAGTGCGCACCATGACATCGTGTCGAAAGAGAGAAGAAAGTGTGACGCAGTTTGCTGAGAACCTCGTCTGCATAACTGCTGCGGTCGCATTGCTTGTGATCGCCGGAACTGATGGCAACAATGATTACAGTTGGTAATCAAAAGGTAATTGGATATTGAAACAAGAAAGCAATGAGATTTAATATTGGCTACAAATATAGAGCAAGACGAAGATGAACGATGAACGCTTAAGAGTTTAGTAAATTGAGGCAGATTATGTAGTGCATCGGATGAGCATGAAGTGTCTTGCTTGCGAGATGTCTGACAATGTCTGCGACCGAACCCGCTCTGACGCAAGTGCTCTGCTCAGCGGACCGGACACCACCCAGAGACGATACGCTTATTTTAGCAATCGATTAACTGACCAGTTTGTTTATAAAAGAAGCGTATCCAGTATAATGAATGTTTTTACCAGGCTATTGCATACTTTATCTTACAACTTTTTGTATTAAAAATATTCAACCATTATTACAATAAAATTCAATAGGTCAATTAGTATTGTTTATATAAGTTAATGTTATATGAAGTTGTGTGATAATGCATTATAACACAAGAATATTATATTAAACGATAATATAATAAGAGTGAACAATATTGTTATTGCAAAACAATGTGCCAGCGCTGGCTCTCTCATAACTGTTTGGAGAGCGAGTGAATGCCGCGCCTCGCTTTGATTCATTTGTTTTATGTCAATAAAATTAATTCAACTTCTAAAGCAACGCACATTGTTGTGAGATCAGACAACGTAAACATTCGCCGCTGATAATAACGCTAAAACACTATGCGTAGTAATTAAGTAATAATGAAGCATTAGGCAGCGAGACTATCGAGCGCCGAGAGGCAGCTTGTAGGAACAATAGGTCGTCAGCAGGCACCCGGCCGCGGCCTAGTGCAGATAGCATCGCTCGCGTCGCTACCGGACAAGGACATGTGCCTATTCAAAACTGTGCCTTCAACTTTGTTGCGTTGCAGTAAAGTCTCCGAATAAACAATTAATGAGTAGTTCAACAAAGTAAACTTTTAATATAACCTTTATTTGTTATTTTTGTTAAAGGGATTTATTTTATGTTCGAACTAAAATTAGTGACTCGAGGTTACGCTCTATCCTTAGTCAATAATGGAATTGTGGCCAGGTCAGGGTGCCGAAGTTACACTATAGGGAAGTAAGTGGTCGCTAATCGTTGACAATCAATGTAGAGTCGGACAGCGACTTTTGCAAGATAATTAAAAGTGTTACCAACTAAAATTCTGAATGCCGTCACGCGAATTGAACCTTACACTGCATTTCAACAATTGCCTAATTCATAACAAGTAAAATTTCACAACTCTAACGTACTGTGTTTTTTAATGAAAAGTCTAGTGCAATTAACAAAAGTAATAGCTTAACATGAGTTTTATTTGACAAGTCCTACTTCATGAAAGAAAAGTTTGGTAAAGGTCCCTTTTTTCCTATGTTTTCTTAAGTTTTATAAACATAATATAAACATTATTTGATATAAATTCAGTTCATCTTAGAAGCATTTATTTTAAAACAAGACGCAATTGTTGATATCTTATAATAAGTTCATTTTTGCAAAGGATTGTGACGGACAGACAAATTGCAAGTTCGTTTTTACCCAATGTTATTGTCAATTTTTTTCGTCGCGAATCGCGATAAATATCTGTAAAAGTTGTTGCAAAAAACAAGGTTCATTGTTAAGTTTTATAAACATAGCAATAACAACACTAAGAAACAAAATAAAAAAATACAAATCTTCTGTCAACGAAGTCCATTCTGCCAACAATGGGGACAAAAACAAGAAAGGATGTGCTTTGTTGCAATGAACCTTGTTTTTTGCAACAACTTTTACAGATATTTATCGCGATTCGCGACGAAAAAAATTGACAATAACATTGGGTAAAAACGAACTTGCAATTTGTCTGTCCGTCACAATCCTTTGCAAAAATGAACTTATTATAAGATATCAACAATTGCGTCTTGTTTTAAAATAAATGCTTCTAAGATGAACTGAATTTATATCAAATAATGTTTATATTACAATGACAATGATTCAAGAGCATACATAAATGGTATTTTTTAATCATGATTTAGATCATTTTTAAAACAAGAAATATATAGTAAAAGAAAATAAAGAGACAAGAAAACGTTTGTTTTATTCGAACACATTTGCAGTAACACGTGATTGTGACAAGCAAGTCATAGAGCTGAAGTTAAACAAATATTAGAAATTTTATAACTCAAGTATTTTAAAATATTATTATCTTTTTACAATAATATAATTGCGAATAAATTAAATACTTTATATTGTTTTATATTATCAAGTAAAGTTAACTAAAATACGTATTCTATAGTGTTTTTAAAAAAAAAAAACCTTTATCAAAAGACATCCTCAGTGTTATCATAATGTCATTGCAATAATGGATTAAAATAATAAGGTAACCTAACTGCAAACCTATTGAAATGTGAGGGTAGTGTAGAGCATCCCTGATCCTGTACCGAGTATATGACGCGTGCAAGCAAACCTTACACGCAATTAACCATTACATACGAGGTGCAGCCTTTGTCCACAGTTCGATGACCTTACTACTATGCTAAGTTTGAAATTGATTATTTTTTCATTCATAACTTTTTTTTTTAATTCATTTATAACTATTATAGTGCTAATGCTCGCTAAGAACTGCCAAGTCTTAAAAAATACTGTTGTGAAGTATGGAGCATATGCATTTTACATTTTCTATGTAATCTGGAGAGCAATATAGATTCATAGTAACCTATGGTCACGCTTTTGCTAACTTTAATAAGTTCCCCTTTTTTGATGCGGTACGAATTATGTTTAATTTTTATCCAATAATTCAGCGGAGCACAGAACGAGGCAAAAAATTATAAAGTGACAGCGGAACCTAATTACACGATACGGTTAAGTTCTACCGCTACAGTCCGCTCCGGACGCAACGTCGATTGGGGAATTACGATTTCAATTATGGACAGATTAATGTTCGTCGTCCATTGCACGCGAGCCGCCCCGGCGCCGTCGCGAGCTCGTGACGAAACCGGCGATGAATGTAGCCCGTTACTTGATAGATTATGAAGGAACTTTCATAGTGCCCGAGTGACCGGATTTCTCATGGGAAAATGTCATCATTATTGGCGGCATATCCCTTTCTAGTCCCAGATGTAATGAACCGACGTCTAGTGACATGGTAGACAAATACTGAATGACCTTAGTTACAAGTGTGAAAATTTTTATTTCTTCTTAGGACAAAGTGACCATAGCATACGACAAATATGTTATAAATAAATTCTTAGGTAACAATATGTGATACTAAGATGTAAAAATATATCGTGTACCTTGTGTCCATACAGAGGGCGCCACGATCACTAGTGCGGCTATCCATAGCGGTAGCGCCATATTGCTACCGAACCATGCCGCCACCGCACCGCACCGCACTGGACCTGGTCCCCTGGACTGCGTCCCGCTTCGTCCGTGCTGCTTTTACGACGCGCCGTCTGCACACAATAAATCATAAACATAATAAAATTGCAAATAAGTTTCAGCAGAATATAATATTGCATTTTCCAATAGCTATCGCTAGGTGATAAAGAAGTGAGTGAAGACTGAAATGATGGAAAATATGTCGATCTAGAGAACTAAATTTGGTGCACCCTACGAGAGAGGGATAAGGACAGGGTGATGATGATGAAGTGATGATTAATATTGTTTGAGTAACGGCATTCAGTAAACACTCAGCAGCAATTCAAGGTCTGTAGACACGCAGCACACACGCCGCGCTGCCTTGACTCTTCCCTCTGTAGTTAGAAAGCGGAAAAATGTATCAAAATCGCGTCGACCATCTCTCGTTAATTTCGCTTTCTTTTGCGATGCTATTTACATGTTAGTTAGACTGTTGACTAGCGCTGTGAGCTGTGCTGACTGCACTGACGTCCGCTCCAATGGCGTCAGGTTGCAAAACTGTGTCTAGTTCGATTCTATTGTTTTTGCCATTTTGATTGCTAAACGGGAAAGATTTGGGAGTAGTAATAGAATGTTCTTATACTTTATGTAAGGTAATTGAACTAAAACAATACAAAAACGGCAAAGCAAACGATGTAACCTAACGCCACCTGTTCGATTTGCACGGCGGTGCCAGTATTGCATGTATCACATCTCCTTGTTGCACTACTCTTTGTGTGTATGTGTGTATATAACAGTGGTTCCGAGCGAGTGGCGCCGCAGTCACTACGTCTTGCGAGATATGCTTCTATATGATATTGTTTTATACTGCCATTTTTATAACGAAGAGATGATTTAAAGAAATGCAAAATGTAAAAAAAATTAACAACCTCTTTAGATGACGATATAAGTTAATAATTCAATCGCAACAGATGAACGGGCAATTCAAGGCGCCAAAGTTTGACATCCGTGACGTTAGTAACCTGCTATAGAGAGGGAGGCGCTGGAGTGTGTCGCGTCAACCCTCCCCGCGGCCCTTGCCGGTCCCGTGTCCCGGGGTACAAGCAGGTTGCACTTCCTACACCCGCTCTCACCGTTTCATTTTAGACCGTTAACTCATTAATTAAATTATTATTAATCATAGTGAATGATAAGTTGTGTAACGACGATGATTATCTTCTGTTGCAGAGTTAAAATACACTGTACCATGTCTTAAATCTCCGCCACAACCATCTAATATAGTAACTGTAGTTTGTTTATTTACAATCTTTCAGTGTCGACTGGTATAAATCCCTTGTATTGTTAATCAAGTCATCATAACACGTTGACAGGTGACAGGTGACAGCTCGCAACACGCAGCACGCGACAGCTATGTGGCCCTGACCCTGATACAATGCACTCGATCACTGACCGACAATGTATCGACACAATACACCCATATTTGTCGCTAACTGCATATTGTTTACTCTAGCGCGGTAATCAGTACGTTACACTTGTCAACAGAGATGAAATACAAAGTATAAATTGCGCTTTTGCGTTATATTTTATGTTATTACTAAAAAAGTCAGACTAAACATATATAACAAATACCAACAATGCTGGAAGAAATGTGTTTTTGACACAGCGAGAGCAGGAGAGGATAACTACTCAAATTAATAGTTTATATGTGTATAATATGTAACTTTATCTATGCTATTAAATAATTCTCAGAGATTGTTTTGTAGTAAATTACTTGATAATGTCGCAGTAAGCAGTAAAAGCAAGGGTATATGTCTAAGATATGCTCTACATATACAAATGATTATGGCGTCGTTGTCTTGGTGCCGTTTCTGTGCATCGTGCTGCATATCGATCATGAACTTTGCCACTTTATAATCTGACTAAGTTGAATAAATCCTTGACAACTTAAGTATTCTGTAAAACACAACTTTTTTAAAGATATAACTTAAAAATCCTTACCTATAATATTATATGTAAAATCGTATTCTTTCAATATTTAATTTATGTTGCTTTGATGTAGAAGTTCGCAAAACTTTAAAAACTACTGCCTTCTTGTAAAACGAGCAGGTTTAATATTTTTACGACTAAAAAATAACACCTTTTGATAAATCTCCCTCAAATAAAATACCATATAACCATAAATAGTTAATTCAAATCCAGTTTTCTGAGGAACAGTTTAATTGCATATCGTATTAAGAAACCGTTTAGCTTTTCCACACAATTTTATTTGAAGGCGTTTTCGGCGCCAAAAATTTGACAACTGACGGACACAACAGCCTCACTAGGTTAGAATTTCACTTGTCATGAATTCTTGTAATTTCCCAAAGTTATTTTTGTAGCTAGAATTAAAGTTTAGTCAAAAATGCCCAAATATGAAGATGTAGATTGTTATCATTTCTCATATCGACGGGAAATAGGCACTAAAAGATGGGACAATATTACCGAAATTATCCATTTTACCTAACCTAACCCATGAGGTGACAACGTAACTGCTAGTAATCGTTTTAATAAATTATTTCTCACGGTTTGATATGACATTATTATTTTCTTGAGATCTATCTACATTGCTTTATGGGAATACAAATTGTCATAAACAAAGCATGCGTGCCTTTGATATAGAATTCTGCTTTTGTGTAGTTTTTTTACCGTTGTTTAATTATTTTGTAAGCACAACTCTACAGGCTAAATTAGTAATATAGACATCTGTGATAGTGATCTGCTTTTTACGACAAAAGTTTTCGAAATATAGAATCTGATACTTACTTTAACTAGGTCAAGCGGGCGTTTTAGTATGTTGTACTAAACTAATTAGATTATTTATATTTAAATAAAGAATATAACGATGCTTTTTAAAGTACGAAGACGTCGACGTTACGGTCAGCGAGTAGCCACTGGCCAGATATTTGCGACTCAAGTTGCGGACCGCGACCGTGCCAGAATGCGCAAAAAAATAATATTGATTGTATCGTGTTCATAAACAATTGAAATAGTTTTTATTTTACATAACGGTGTATAAAAAATACTGGTGGGTACAGTAACTACGAGCTTAACTTGCGCCTACGTATAACTACCTGTCGTGAAAACATTGCCGTGTGTATAAAAACACCCAAACATTGTTCGGCTTCGCGAACTTTGTATTTAATTTGTAAACCGTCTTTTAAAAATAACTCCAAAATAAACCAGGTCCTGTCTTGCTTTAAAATAGGGATAAACAGACATCAAGTAAATTGTAATTTTAAGCACCTATCCTTACAACTCACCTATAAGAAAAACATTGCATAAAACCCACAGCACATAGAATATTCACTTAATAACTTCACACAAAAAATATAAACTTATTAAACAGTTAAAATTAAAGTTTACGAGTGTATACAGTCGCGGTCGTGGTATGATGGTCACACGATGCGGTGTGTTATCGTCAGAGGCCCGGCTGTAACTGATGGTAACTGTGGGACGGTGACTGTCCGCTCCGCTGGGCGCCATCGGAGGGTGACCGGGGGTGGACGCAGGTCACTTACCGTTGAAATAGGGGCTGATGGGGATGGATGGTTAATGATTATCACTGGGGCGATCGTTGCACCGTCGACAGTAATTTATTGTACTGATTTGTTTTTTTTTGTTACTATAGTTTAGTTAGTGGGTGAGAAATGTACGATATTGTTTCAAAATCGTATAAAATGCTGACATTCATTTAGTTACAAACCTCGACATGTTTTTAATCACAAAACTGAACCCACTACTTGCCTAAATAGTTACCGGTTACAAGTCAAATGGTTTACCCCTGCGCCACCGATGATTTTACAGAAATGAATAATTGAAAAAAATGTGCTCTTGCTAAATTATTGAGTCAAATTTGTGTATAATGGTATAACCCAGATTAACATAGGTACATATATTAAAGCAATATCATCATAAAATTATCATTAAAAACCATAGTTACTTCATGTACATGTTACTGAAACTGTTAATTATCTGTAGTGTCATAAATATTCTGTCTATAGAGAAATAGAGAAACGTCAATTGTTGAATGTGTCATTTGTGCTGTTGCATCTTTTTGTGTATTTTTTTCTTTTACAAAAAAAACAATATTTAACTTTTTAGTTACTTTCGTCACAGTTATGAGTGTTTTACATTCTATAGTGTATTCCTTTTTGGATTTGCTACTAAAGCAAAAGTAAAGTTTTAGGATAAACATGGCCGAGCTAAGTGCAATGAACTCCGGTAGTGGAGCAAATGATGAGGAGAATTCACAGAGAAATGATTTTATAAAACAAGAAGTAGAGATACCAGTAAAACGAGAACCTGTCGATTGCTTAGTGTGCGCGGACCGTAGTGCGGATGGATTCGAGATACACAGTACGAAAACACTGGTGTCCAACATAACTCTTTACGAATTCCTGTGCAAACTATCTCAGGCCACCTTAACCAGTTGCGAAAATTATTCCAAATATGTGTGTAAGACTTGTTATGATCTTGTCAATGAGTTAGAACGTGCTGAAAAGGAATATAAAAAGCTAAAAGACACTTTTGAAGCTATAATAAACAAAAATCCGTTGTTCGACTGTCGAACGTCGTCTTCCAACTTGTGTATGGTGAAAAACGAGGTGTTTGAGAGTGTGTATGATGACTTGTGTAAAACAGACAATGATTCCGAAGATGAGCCCTTGGCTCTCACCAAGCACAAGCGACAACGAAAAGTTGACAAGAGGAAAAAGAAATCTAGTGGTGAAGTTAAACGCAGAAAGAGACACAAAGTCAACAAAGACAGGTAGCTAATATTGTTATGTTTTTGCAAACTGCAATTTACATGAATTAAGAACACTATATTTAGTATGTAAAATTAAACCCTACCTTAGTAAAATAATTTTTCACTTATTTACAGTTGGGAGTGTAACTTATGTGGGCTTGTAGGCCCCAGCGGTGGGACAGATGAATTTCAGGCTCACATGTTGACTTCTCATGGCACAGATGATGCAGAGATAAAAGACGTCAAAAAAGAAGACATACTTGATGAGTAATAAAACATTTTAAACCATTTTCCATAATAATTACCATTTGATTAAAATAGAAACAAATATGGTAATTATTTACCATTATGACAAGAGAGTGATATTTATTTTTGTAAGCAAAATGTAAATTTAATGAGAGAACTTGTAAAGTACTTTAAACGCAAGACCGGCTTTTTGAGTTTGCCAATATTAACATTCTTGAAAAAAAAAAGAAATACTGCCATACCTTGACCTCCATGTCTCTCTTTACATAAAAATATTTAGGTTTTAATTATTTTCATTCAATTTAAAGTTTTCAGAATTCCAATGACACATTGGAGTCAATTTTGAAGATTAAAAAGAATGAGTTTCTTGATGATGATGATGATGACGACAGTGGGAACTATGAGCCGGAAACATTGAGCAATGGCAAGCATCGGAGAAACAAACTGCAGTCAAGTACCGGCCCAAAGAGAAGAAAAAAACGGGAAGAAAAGGTATTGCACCCTTGTGATCGGTGTGATGCGAAATATACATCCTTGTGTGAGTATTATGTAACATTTATATATGTACTTGTATGTGACACATTTACTAAACTGTTATAAGTTTGTGTGCACAGTGAGGCTGGAGCAGCACAAGCTGAAACATGAAGACTCAAAGCCGCCGTACATCTGTGAGGTGTGCGGCGCTCATTACAAGCACAAGCGTGCCTGCGACATACACGTTGCACTACATAAAGGTTCACCACAAATTCCACATCAATGTTTACCTACAGAATACATTGCAACAACTGTGCAACAACTTTTGTATAAGAATATATTGCTGTTAAAGTAGTTTTCAGATATCTTGGCGGCTCTTAGCCTTGTGAGAGTTGCTGGGCAACGGGACAATGTTAGTTGTAATGAGAAGTAGTAGGATAGACCTGGAACTGCCAGGATATTTGAATGGAACTGTACACTCATTTTTAAATTTGCGTCTGATTTCTCATCATGTCGTCAGACAATTGTAGTACAGGACTAAAATCAATCTTTGATATTTTTTTTATTTTTAAAGTAATGTCTGTTCGTCAGATTTACTTATTGTTCATTAATGATTTGCACATTGACTTTTTATCCAGGTATAAGTGATTGGAAATGTGAAGAGTGCAATAAACTGTTCCCCTCTAAGGGCGCCCTGCAGCGGCACAACAACATACACACCGGCAAACTCAACTATCAGGTAGCGAGCTGCTTCTGTTCAGTCATTCATTATTGTTGTTTATATATGTTATATATATGTTGTATGTGTGTGTGTGTGCAGTGCGACCTGTGCGGCAAGTCGTTCATCCACACGTCGTCGTTCAAGATGCACAAGCTGTCGCACTCGGGAGTGAAGTCACACGCGTGCGACGTGTGCGGCCTCGCGCTGATGACGCGCTCGCATCTGAAGCGGCACAAGCGCATCCACAGCGGGGAGAAGCGGCACGAGTGCTCCGTCTGCGGCAAGCGCTTCTCCGAGCGCTACAACCTCGTCGCGCACACCAAGTCCCACGACGCCGCCACCTCCGCCTCCGCCTCCGCCTCCGCCGGCTGCCCGCCCCCCGCCGCGCCCCGCACCCGCATCTTCCGCTGCAACTTCTGCCACGAGCGCTTCGACAGGAAGTCCGTGTCCTGCCCGCCTGCTCCTCTCTCTGCTCTCCCCCACACTCACCTCCGTCTCTGCGCAGGTACATGCTGGAGCGGCACTGCACGATGGCGCACGGGCGCGCGCTCGAGCGGCCCCCGCCCACGCCGCGCAACACCATGAGCAAGCTCCTCAAGGCGCAGGCCGCCGCGCGACGCTCGCACGGTGCGTACACCCTCCACCCC